ATATATTGCATCTAAAACGATTTGTCATTATTGTGGTGGTACGGGTCACATTAGGTCTCTTTGTCATATTAGGAACGTTCAAGTTCCCAATGGAAAAATGACATGGATTCCTAAGTGTACATCAACTAACCCTAAAAGACCCGACTAAAATTGAGTACCTAGCTCTATATATTGTTTTTTTGTGCATGAATGTTTAGGAATATTTATGGATTCTTAAGACAAGTGAAGAAATATGGACCCAATCACATTTTTGATCGTATTGTATTCTTTCGTGTTATAATAGTGTTGTTATATGCTAATGTTACTTGTGCATATAGTTTAGTCTTAGATCATCGTAATTGATATGATCATTCCATTCTCATTTATATTCGTGTAGTTGCAATTTATTTATCTTATTTTCTTTTAATTGTTTTCATTATATAATGATCATTCAACTATTTCTCATATGCATCAAAATTATTTCTCATTTGCATCAACAACTACTTTTCATATGCATCAAAGAAATGCTTTAGTTGCATTGAAATCCTTTTCACTATATTTACCTTGGATTAAACATTTTTCGTATTAAATTTTTGTTGTCACATTAGAAGAATCTACTCATGTTGCATTTGATGAGTCCTCACCCCAAAAGACGGGGAAAGGTAGTCGTTCTGATGTTTCACGTGTAATAACGATAAAGTTGATCAACAACGAAATTTCTAAAGAGGATCCTACTCTTTCAACAAATGATGAAGACACTAAGGAAGAAAAAGAGGAAAACTTACACGAGGATGGCAAACAAGAGACCTCGAACCATCTTACTCAAAATTGAACAATCGCAAAAGATCATATGTTAGATCAAATCCTTGGAGACATCAAAAGAGGTGTAAGTACTACATCACATGTTAATAATTTTTGTAAGTACTCTACTTTAATTTCTCAGATTGAATCTACATTAATATCCAATCCTTTACTTGAAGAGGGATGGTTACTTGCTATGCAATAAGAACTTATCAAATTTAAATGTAATGATGTTTGAGACCTTGTTCCACGTCCAGTTGATAAAATTGCCATTGACACTAGATGGGTATTTAGGAACAAGATGGATGAAAATGGGGTAATTACTAAAAATAAAGCAAGATTAGTCGAAAAAGGATATAATAAAGCAGAAGGAATAAACTACAAGGAGAATTATGCTCATATATTATTAGAATCCTTTTGGCATTTGTTTGCTTCATGGATTTTACGCTTTACAAAATGGATATTAAATCTGCTTTTCTTAATGACACATAAACAAAGAGATGTATGTCTCACAATCCCAGGGTTTTGAGGATCACGATAATCCTAACCATGTTTTAAAATTGAAAATATCCCTCTATGGTCTCAAACAAGCTCCAAGAGCTTAGTATGAGCGATTGAGTGGATTTTTAATCAAACAATAATTCAATCGTGGGAAAGTGGACACCATCTTGTTTATAAGACACAAAGCTAAGCATATTCTTTTAGTTAACGTATATGTAAATGATATTTTTTTGGTTCTACTAATGAATTTCTATGTTGAGAGTTTACAAGTTTGATGCAGGGAGAACTCAAGATGTCTCTTATGGGAGAGTAAACATGTTTCTTAAGATTGCATATCAAGCAAGCCGAAGAAGGCACTTTCATAAGTTAAACAAAATACTGGGTAGAGCTTCTCAAGAAGTTCAATATGAAAAATTCAAAGAGTATCTCAACACCCATTGTTTCAAATGTGCTAATTGACAAAGACGAGAAAGGAGCAAACTTCAACATTACTAGGTATAGAGGTATAATTACATCCTTACTCAATTTAACATCAAGTGGGTCAAATATCATGTTTAGTGTGTGCATGTGTGCAAGATATCAAGCATCACCTAAGGAATCCCATTTTAAGATCGTAAAACGTATTTTGAGGTATTTTAACGGAACCTCCTAACATGGTTTTTGGTATCTTAAAGGTAGTCCTTGTAGTTTAATAGATTTTTCTGATTCTAATTTCGCGGGGTGCAATTCAGATAGGAAAAGCACTAATGGTATTTGTCACTTATTTGGAAGTTATTTAGTTTTTTGCCACAGTAAGAAGTAGCATAATGTTTCTTTTTCTACCACTGATGCTGAATATGTACCCACCGATAGTTGTTGTGCACAAGTCTTATGGCTAAAGTAATAATTTCTAAATTGTGATTTAAAACTTGGTTGTATTCCGATTAAGTACAATAGTACTTATGCAATTAGCCTCACTAAGAATCTGGTACTTCATTCACAGACCAAATACATTGAGATCTGACATCATTTTCTTAGAGACCATATTGAAAAAGAGGATGTTGTTTTTGAATACGTTGACACTAAAAGTCATCCTGCTGACATTTTTACAAAAGCATTGTCAGCGAAACCTTTTCACAAGATCTATAGGGATTTGGGAATCTTAGATTTCTCGTGCTTTAAATAGAATGATAATTTTGTTTAGTTTCATTTGCTATGTATATTTTGTTTTCACTAACACTATTTTGTAGCAAATCATATTTTTTTCCAGCTTCATTGGTATGTCTCTATAACTCCTGTATCATGTTTTATATCATTAGATGTATGTTGTTCTGAATATGTTCATTAGTTTGTTTATTACCTTCCTTACTTTACTTATTCGTCTCTAGCATATTTTTTTATTGTTCTTCTTTGCATTTAAGTATTTTTAAATGTGTGTTACTAATTATGTGCATTCGAACATTTATATACTTGTTCATGCATTATTTATGTTATTAATGCATTCATTTACATAATATTTGTTATCACTTAATTATATGTTGTTGAATATTGTTGCGTGTCTATTTGCATTTTGTTGCATGTAACATGTTTATCTTCGTGATTTGTATCTGATCTTTGTTGTTGTATATTCTTTTTAGTTGTTTAGGTCATATGTTCATATGAAATTATTTGTTTGTGGTTGGTTATTTGGTTTTTAGACTCCTCTTTTTTGATATTGTCAAAGGAAAAGAAGTCGTAATGCGGGTCAATTGTTTTATATGTTTTATGTTGTGGTTTGTGTACAATGTTTCAGAGGGGAGCACAAGCGTTTTTGCTTTTGACTCAAAGTCGACTCAATTTCAAGTGAAAACTGCCAAGCATAAAAAAAATAGGGTGAGGGGGAGGGGGCGAAAGCTGCATATCCCTAGCGGATATTGAAGTTGCATGTCCCTAACACATTAAGGGAGAGAACTCCAATATGGTAATTTTTTTGGTTGTCTTATCGCCTTCGTTTTCATTTAATTTTGTTTATTAGGTCTCCTTCATAATTGCACATCATCTTTGAATCTTGTTTGAATCGACTCATTTTTAGCATGCATAAACCAATTGTTATATTTGAACTTGATCATGATGTTTTTAGTCAATTTCACGAGTCAGTGGAATAAGAACCACATGTGTTATTGGTTCAAGTTAGGTGGAAAGTAAAATCTCAAAGTCTTTTGAAAATCATGATAAATTGAGATTTTGTGTGCATGATTCAAATCATGTACATATCCTGACTCAAATCAAATTGAGCAGAGGCAAACCAATTTCTTTCAAATACTCTGATTTGAATCAGACTTTTAACTTGATTCGAATCAGACAGCTTTATGATTCTACTAAGACTTTACACTTAATTAGAATCAAAATGACATGGGTTTCCTCTGCTTGATTTGTTTTGAGTCAGACTTTACATCTGATTCAAATCAGACAATTTTTTCATATTTCTTTTTTGGCTCTATTTAAATTTATTCGAATCAGAATTTACACTTGATTCGAATCATGACCTTTCTTATTCGAATCAAAATGTGTCCATGATTCGAATCAGATGAGAAATGAGTCAAAATCGTTTTGTTTTCTTATCCCATTTCACTTACTCATTTGGCTTAAATTAGGAAATGTTCTTGATTCGAATCTAACTAACTTTTTTCGTTCATTCTTATGCTTAATCTCAAGCACATATAAAATCTTTTTGTCATCATTTTACAAGAGCAATACACAACTTTACAACGTTTTTGCATTGTAATTTGATGAAATCAACACTCTCTTTTAGAAAGTTTAAAAACTCCTACAACAAAATTCATGCATCTTCAAATTGTGCAAAGATGGTTTAGAAGATGATTAGATGATGATCCCCCATATAATCACCAATCACATTTATTGAAAGGATGGGTGATGGAGCCAATCCGGGTGGCCAAAGTCCAATCTGGATGACATGTGGCATTGCTTGCGCGTATGAAGACTCTATGTGTGCTTAGTTTGTCTTACTTCCTTAAAGATAATCATTTCTTAGACTTGCTAGGATTACCCCAATATAAATACTGAAGTAAAATTAATCTGACTTCGTATTTCGTATTCTTTTATGTAAAAAAGATATTAAAGTAAAATGAATTTGACATTAAATTGCATTAAACCTTACTATTTTCACTATAAATTATAGATAAACCTTAAAATTATGAATTTGACATTATTTGCTTGTCCTTGCATTAACTACATTCTTTTCTCCTCTATGTTTTTCTATGCAATGACACATGAAATATCTTTTTACTTTGTGAAATAGTGATTAATTTTAAGGTTTAATGCAATTTAATACTAGTGATATTTTATAGTGAAAATAGTAATATTATCTTTGTGATTCGAGTGTTACATGAAATGATGATATAATTATCCAAGCATATTGGTCTCTCTCAAGCTTGACAAGAAGTTATGTTGAAAAATAATCATAAGGTGTGACGAAATTAAAGCCTAAATCGACGAGTCCTCTACAAATCATAAACCCATGTAGTACACGTTACGTTACATATATTATTTAAATCAACTACGTGGATAATTGAATATAGTACATGTCTTTGCCTTATTGTGTTTGGTATGAGATATATACACGCAATATTTCAACGTGAGACTAAACTATACACAAATGATTGATAATATTGGAATTGAAATATATAAATATCATTGAAACATAGCATAAATTTCCAACTTCTGAAAACAAATCTAACCATATGGGTTATTCCGATGATTCTCCAACCCAAACTTCCTATCGTCAACATCTTCTTAACGAAAACGTAGATGAACAAGATCCAAACCCAGGATTCAAATCACACAAAAAACTAGCTCTTCTCCCTCTAATCTTTCTCATCTACTTTGAGGTTTCTGGTGGACCTTATGGTGAGGAAGCCACAGTAAAAGCCGCAGGTCCATTTTTTGCAATTCTATGTTTTGTAATTTTCCCTTTTATTTGGAGTGTTCCAGAGGCACTTTTAACTGCAGAATTAGCCACCACTTTTCCTGGAAATGGTGGGTTTGTTATTTGGGCTAATGAAGCTTTTGGCCCTTTTTGGGGTTCTCTTATGGGAAATTGGAAATTTTTCTGTGGTGTCATAAATTTAGCATCTTATCCTGTTCTATGTTTAGATTATGTTAAACTTGTTTTTCCTGTTTTGTCTTCTGGTTTTCCTCATTATCTCTCAATTGTTGTCTCAACTTGTTTGTTATCTTTTTTGAATTATTCTGGTTTGGCTATAGTTGGTTATACTGCTGTTGCTTTAGGTGTCATTTCTCTTTTACCTTTTCTTTTGATGTCTTTGATTTCATTGCCTAAGATTCAGCCTGGTAGATGGTTGAGTTTTGGTCAAGAGGGTGTGGAGAAAGATTGGACACTTTTTTTCAATACTGTTTTTTGGAACTTGAATTTTTGGGATAGTGCTAGTACTTTGGCTGGGGAAGTTGAAGAGCCACATAAGACTTTTCCTAAAGCTTTGTTTTTTGCTGGATTGTTAACTTGTTTGGGTTATATAATTCCTTTGTTGGCTGCAACTGGTGCTATGCCCCTTGATCAAGAGAATTGGGTTGATGGGCATTTTGCAAATGTGGCTTATTTGATTGCTGGAGATTGGTTGAAATATTGGATGGAAATCGGTGCGGTTTTGTCGATTATTGGATTGTTTGAAGCTCAATTGAGTAGCTCTGCGTATCAGCTTTTGGGTATGGCTGATTTGGGATTTATACCGAAAATATTTGGTGAAAGATCCAAGTGGTTTAACACACCTTGGATGGGGATTTTGGTTTCGACAATGATATCACTTGCTATGACATTTTTTAGTTTTACAGAGATTATATCCACTGTGAATTTCTTGTATAGTTTAGGGATGCTTTTGGAGTTTGCTTCTTTCCTTAAATTGAGGAGGAAGTTTCCTACAATGAAAAGACCTTATAAGGTTCCTTTTGGATTCTTTGGTTTGATTATAATGTGTTTTGTCCCATCTGTGCTTTTGGTTTATGTGATGACAGTTGCTACCAAAACTGTGTTAGTGACTAGTACTTTCTTAACATTATTAGGGATAGTGTTGTATTATTTCATGAATCTTTGCAAGTCCAAAAGGTGGATTGAATTCAATGGAGTAGGAGATATAATGGAAGAAGAAGAAGAAGATGATATTGTTATATAGAAGTTGTTGGATATGATTGGTTGCCACTTATTATTGTTACTTTGGGTGAAGCAAGTTATGTATCAATTTATGTATGTAACATTTTTTTATTTGGGTTGAAGCAATCTTTGTAATAATATATGTATATTTTTGTGAAGGAGAAATTGGATTCTCCTGTCACTATTGTAATTTGTTGTGAAACGTTTGAATGACTGTAGATTCATTGATTAATTATTATTTTATTATATATGGAGCTTTCAAGATCCCAATTTGTAATGGTAACGAATTATTAAAGTGTAGTGAAATGGAAAGGCAAGTTGGATTCTGCCACACAGATTCATTTGTAGGTATGAGATTCTTTCTATGCTTCAATTATTTATTGAAAAGTTAAGATTCTTCTGTCGTCTAGATAAATATCTAAAATGAGGGCCATGAGATGTTGACGTTTAAACATCAAATGGTTTATAAGAAGATAATTTGTGAATGGTCAATATTACATTAAACATCAAGTTGATTCATTTTGATTGAGAGCAAGGCCAACAAATTTGATCTTATCACAATTCAATAGAGTTTAAGGAAGGTGTCCTTCAATAGAGAAGGATGATGACAAGATAACATGTATTAATACCAAAGAATGAAAACATGACTATCAATTCCTAGGTAGAGTCAGCAAAATACAGATTTCATACCCAAAGAAAAAAAAAACTAAACTATTCCTAGTTAGACTCAACAAAATACAGATTTCATACCAGAAATAAAATAAAATAAAATAAATAAACTAATACAGCAGTGTTGTAACTTGTGCATGAAACTTTTATAATCCAGCTTAGCCTCTCATGTCTAGTGACACAAACTAAGATAGTTAATGGATCAGTTCATGACAACAAAAAAAGGGGATAGTTAATGGATCAATAACTGACATCAATTTTATTATTGAAAATGGTGACCTCAAATTAATAAATTGAGGTCACTAGATTTGAAGAAAAAGAACTGCAAACAAATAAATAAAGAAAAGAAAAACCAAAACAGAACAAAAATATGTCAATAGTATCTTAGTTCATTTGATCAAGTACAAAACTGATTGTGCAGGATCATACCACTTTAATGCAGCTATATGATACCAACAGCCAAGTCTCTTATAACATAGTACATTTGAATGGCAGAAGTTCGAGTTTAAGAGGAAACAATGGGTAGTTGTTTATACAAAAGAAACAAAATACTCAACACCGATTGAATTGAAGCCATTTTCAAACTATGGTTATAAGAGAATAAAAATGCAAATGACAGAGCTACAGATTGGAAATATTTAAATCTCTTTGTTCCTCCTGCCATGATCTCCAAATCGTAACTATTGACAGCAAAAACCGCAAAATTTGCTCTAAGCAACGCTGAAGTAGCACAGAAGTTAAATTGCCATGCATTTTCCCTCTCTGGGTTTTTACATTCCAGTTTCATTTCTTAGCCAATACCTCCCCTTTGCATTCACTACCTGCAGTGACCACGAAACCTGCTCCAACCTGCCAATATAGGCAATGTCACCACTCCAATCTAAATTGTAAATTTGTAATAATGCAAAATGCCAAAATGCCAGTATAGGCAATGTCACAACATTCCAAATAAATTTCCATCATGAAAAATATATAGAAAACTGAGAAAAAGAGAAACAAATTACTTGGCAATCTTTTAGTATTGCACGTTCTTGGAGCTGTACATTGCTGCAGATGACAGAACCTTGGATTGAACAAAAATCACCGATAGTAACATGGTTCATAACTACTGAATTAACAACCTGCGTGCATATATAATATATAATATAAATACAAATGAAAGAAAACTCGACAATTTTTTTGAAGACAGCGCCTTAGGATAACTAATAATTGTATCACAAGTAAATCAAAGGACCAAAAACTAACTTCATGTTCATTGCAGGGATAACATATCCCACCTTAACATTGGCACCTATCCTACAGTGGCGGCCAATGACAGATCGTTTTACACTGCATTTGTCACCCATCTGCGAGCCTTCCCCCAGCATACAATGTGGTCCTACCTAAAATAAATCCAAATAATGTATAAACTTAAAAATGGGTAAAACTAAACAAATCCTTCTGAAACTGAATTCCAGAAAGCTGTGACTAGAGTACAAACAGTGAAATTAGTTGCGAATTGACTGCATTCTCCAGTGTGTTTAACTAACTCACAGTTGTTTTTGCCCCAAGCTCTGCAGTGGGATGGATAATGTTGTTATGAGCAGAGAAGGAATACCCTGACAAATGACTAGCTTCTCCTATCACCTGTCACATTAAAAAATGAATGAAGCCCATGTAAGCAGCACTGTGCTTGAAAAAAATGTAAAGGCCATGACAAAGTAAAAAACCTACATTCCGGTTTATATCATTGTATGCTTGTATAGAATTCAGCCGAGCACAGTACTTGCTACTTCCGGCAATATAGACACAGCATTTATGGGTTCTTCGAACAGAGTCAGAACCATTAGTACTAAGTGCATGACGTAGATGAAATGTTGGCTCAGATGCATTAGCAAGTATTTGAGATAACATTTGTTGATTCTTTTGAGAAATACCCTTCTCAGTTCCATTTTCTTCTGCTTGCGGTGTTCCATTTAATAATACTTCCGATTTCTAGTTCTCATTTAGAAAAGTATAACCAGGTTAGAATCCTTACATTTTTAGCATCCTTTAAACCATCTCTCTGCAAAGACATTAAACAACTAACCAGTTGGCTGCGGACAAGATATGGCAATAAATCATGTTTTAAGCTATTAAATTCACACTTCTGATCTAGAACTTCTAGTAGAACTGATCTGCAAGAAAATTATGTTTCAGGATACAATCACAACTAAGATTTAGAATATAGATATAAGGCAATCAAAAAGTAGATGAATATACCTTTTGAATGCATACAAGTGGGCATCCATTAGATCAGCTCTTATTTCTACCTACATGAAAAACAATTTATAAAAAGTAAAAAATCAATGAAATCAAAATGGCGAACATGCAAAAGTATGATGTTAAATTTTGTTTTATACTACTCAAATAACATTCATTTATTAGAACAATTCTCTTACTTCGAACCTAAACATATTAATAACTTTCCATCTCTTGACAGACAAAAAAAGAACTTCATTAATAACATTGGCCTGTGTGCTACACAAGAGATGCAAATATGCAATAACTCTGCAGCATGGTACACTTTTTAAGTGTTGAAGTACTCAGCACCGGGTTATGTACCCATATTGGGTATACATATGGTACTACTTTTGTTCTTATTATTCAGTTTCGAGTGAAATTTGTTGTTTTTTCATATATTAATATAATAGATTATGTATTTTAGTTTCTTGTTATGGTAACTTACACAATTTTAAACTTTTATTATGATATTTTGTTATGAATTAAACAATTTAGTTCTCTAGTATTACATTTTATAAAGAAACTATTTTTTTATTGACGTACCCGTACCTTAAATTTTTTTAAAATGACGTATCTCGTACCAGTACCCGTACCGGGTACCATACCTAACACAAAAAATGTGCTTGAAAGACATGTATCAGAACTAACATTTAATTTTCATACAAGAACGGCTATAGCTTTTTATAATAGGAGAAATCCTAGGGAGGTGAAAGTGAAACTAGAAAAAACAAAAAAACCTGGCCAACAGCACGGAGTATGCTCTTCTGAACTCGAAGATCTTTTTCAACTTCAGCTCCTGAAAATTGTTGCAAGATTCAACTTGAGAGTTGAGGAACATATACAATAAGTCACTAAATAGCACATACAACAGGGATGGGCTATGGAGATCTAACCAGTTGCTATGTGAAGTAAAAACTGTTTCGTAGGGTCCAGCCCTATCAAATCATAGCGGCCAGGTTTCTTGGTTTTGTCTTTCCCACCAGAGGACACTGACTCTAAAGGTCCACTTATAGGAGAATTACAAAGCAAAGCAGTGACAACTGCATCATGCCGTCGATGAGTAGCTGCAACAGCACCAATCGGCACATCAGAAACAAGATCACCGCTTACAATCTGCAGAAAATTAAAAACAACCATTAATATCAATATCACCTAGGGGTTAGGAGCCTCTCCATTAACTCATCACCTAGTAGATCTCATGGCTAAGCAACAACGAAAAGTGAAACTCACCAAAATGTCTTTTGCGTATAGGTGACGCGCAATTGCTCGAATTGCACCAGCTGTTCCAACGTCCTCAGGAACAGAAGCAACCTAGGACATTTATAAAAACAAAAAACATCACATTTGGACAGACTAAGGTATCAAATATCAATAATACTTTAAGATTAAAGTTAAACAACATCTTTAAGAATCTTTGGTCCAGGTCATCTAAAGTGAGCAACTCACCTTAGATATCAGTTGTTAACAAATGAATCAATGACTGATATTACAAGCAGATGCATAACAAATCACTCATGGTTGAAATATTAACTCTTGATTTTCTCATTTCACTAATTACTCCCTCTAGAGAAGCCAAATTCAATTAACATATACCATGGACTTTGTGACTATTCAGATATATAGATAGAGAATCCACTTAGGAAAAAAAACAATTGCATTAAAAAAAATGAAAACCTCAACATGGAGGCGATCGGCATAAGCTCCTGAAATCCAAGCCCCAACATTAAGAGCAGCATCTTGACCTTCAACTACCTACACAAAAAACCACACCATCACTAAAATTTCACTACCAATTCAACGAAAACACTCAAATCTACCCTCTCAAATTACATATTCAAATAAATAAAGAGTAATCTATCGAAACGGTACCACGATGAGATCTTTAAGGTTGCTAAGCTCCAAAAGCTCGACAACATAAGAAAGAAGCGGACGGTTCGCCACCGGAAGTAAAGCATTCGGAAGCTCCTGCAAACGGATAGAAATGTTCCGATACAATTCAAATTCAAATTTGAAATTTCAAATCCTAATTTCATTTCCATTTCCATTTTCATTCCGAAGAAAACAGAAGAAAGAGAGTTATTTTTATTACCTTTGAAACGAGAGGGACGAGTTTTTTGGAGACGCCGCCGGCGAGAACGACGACTTGAAAATCCATCGGAATTAAGAATCAGGGTTTTGGGTTTTGGGTTTTCGGAGGGTTTTCTTTTTCTCTTTCACAAATCAAATCTCGGATTGAAGTGGTTCGTTCATTCGAACACTGAAACCCAAACACGACTCTTGTATCAATTCTTTAGTGTTTAAAATACCAAATGCACTTTGGTTAATTGGTACTACACTTTTCAGTTTTCACAATTTTGCTTCCTCTACCTGCACGCAATTTTTATCGTTTATTCATGGAAAAAACGTATTTAATATATTTATCACACTTTCATTAAAAAAAAAATTGAAATTGCAATTTTCTTACTACAATATAATAAAAAGATGAAATGAAATAAATTTTAAAAATATGACTTTTGAAATTAAATTTTTATTTTGAAAGGTGGAGTATGGTTATATTTTCCTTAATAAATCATTATAATAAACAGATACATGTTTTAAAATTGTTTGTATATTTAAATTCATTCAAAAGTTACTTTAATTTTAAATTAAATTAATATAAAAATATATAACATTTAATAGTTGGATAATAAATACTCTTTTTTATAATAAGAAAACATTTATTTTTTTAGATATATTAATAACTAATTGTAATGGTTAATATATATCAAATGCATTGTCTATTTAATAAATATAAGAAAAAGATATGTTTTTTTGTTTCAAATAAATTTTAAGCAAAATACACTCCGTCTATATATGCACGCGTGGCTAAGTTGGTAATGAAACTTTTTGTCTTCAGTAGGGATCAAACCATGGACACCATGGTTAATTAAAAAGATAGTGTACCACTAGGTTATATCATATTTGTATATTTGTTTACGAATAAAATATTTAATAACAAAACAAAATAGTTGAAAAGAAAATCCTAAAAGGAAGCATACCAGATGCGTTTGAAAAGGATAAAGCTTTAACCTTTTCAAAAATATCAAAACTTTCATTTTTGCACTCCTTGAACCTGTTTTGTTTCACACAATAGGTAACATTTCAAATTGTATTTCATTCTCTAAGGTTGTTGTTTCTTTCACACGTGTTATCAAATCTGCAAAACCTGTTTTCTCTGTCATATTCTCTTCTGTTCTTAGTGATAGATATCCAATTCATGTTTGGCTTTCAATTTTACCTATTGTTATTGTTTGGCTTTCAATTTTACCTATTGTTTCACAGTTTTGAAAATTAGCCATAGAAGAAATTATCGGGTCGAGTCTTGGATTAAGTTTCTCTCTTTAAGATGTTTCTCGACACTGTCCAAAGTTATGCAAAGCAGTCGGACTACAACGCCGTCTCCAGGATAAAACAGCTCAGTTCTATACTGTGCGATTACTACTTTCATAGATTATCGATCTAGAAATACACTCTCTAATGGTACAAAGACCATTCGAATATGGTATAAATACCACTTGTAGTATCTGGTATAATGACAAGTCGTAATAATCTTTCAACCTAAGAGAAATTCCAATAATTCTCCACAGAGAATTCAATAATGATCATTTGACCACTCAAAATCATTTCTCAAACAAAGAGAAATTCGGATAATTCTCTAAAAAGAATCCAACAATTATATTTGATAATTTCTCAACTCAAACGAGAAGAAATTAACATAATTCTCTAAAGAGAACTAAAAAAAATACTCGGAGAATTCAACGAGTATAAAGAAAGGGGGAGAAGTTGGCGCTTCGACAACTCGAAAGACGCATAGTTATTCGACAACTCGAAAGACGCATAGTTATAAAAGTGAGGAAAGAAAAACTCAAAATAAGTTTTTGGTGTGTTTTGGAATAAAATCGAGAATTTTCATATATAATGAAGTAAGGAAGGAAATATATCTCACTTAAGCAATGTGGGACTAATGAGTTTTTTCAACTAACACCCAATGTAGGACTTGACTTAAGAAATTTTTTCAAATTCATCTCCCTATATTAGAATATTGACATAATGTTCCAACAGTCCCCCACTTGAATTTAAAAAAGTGTTTCAGAAGTAACGTCAAACGTTTCTAAGATTGTGCATAAACAAAGGTGGTACGACTTGAACCTTTGCATAGCAAGTAGGATTCTAATTCAACAAGAGTGATACAATTGTCTTGAACTCTACCTGATACATCAAACACACACACAACCTTTTCTTAAGGTGTATTCTAATAGCATGTACATTAATGGTCCTACACGTCTATCCCAATTTAGTGAAGGCTCTAGGAATTCTTCCTCAAAATTCATAAGAACTAGCCTAAGTACCAGAATCACATAGGTGAGTCAATTAAGAGTACTCCTATAACCTAGGTACTCCCTCATATAGAGTATAGATCTCATTAAGAGTTTATATCATCTCATCCTCTTATTACTTCAGGATTCATGCTTTACTTGCATGATCATCTCATATTGCTCACAACTTGTTATTATCCATTGAACTTATTTCTTGGGATCTCCAATCATCTAGGTGGGGCTACCATCATGAGCAACTCATTTCTTTATAGGCATTAGTTCCATCTTCTTGGATGTATTATAGATTTTCCCTCTAGCTAATCCTTTCATCAAAGGATCTGCTAAGTTTTCATCAGTGTGTACATGATCCACTCTTACAACTCCTTTGGAGATAAAATCTCTGATGGTGTTGTGCTTTCTTCTTATTTGACGTCTTTTACCATTATAATAATGATTCTCAATTTTTGCAATAGTCGTGGTACTATTGTAGTGGATCAACACAGCTGTCATACATTTTCCCCATAAAGGGATCTCTACTAGCAAGCATTTTAACCAACTTGCTTCTTCACTAGTTGTGGCTAGTGTTATCATCTCATACTCTATTGTGGACTAAGCCAGGATAATTTGTTTCTTTGATTTCTAAGATATAGCTCCTTCAGCTATACTAGAAGAGTACAGTGATGCAGATTGGAACACCTTATCAGATGATGTCACTTTGGAATCATCTGATAAGGTGTTCCAATCTGCATCACTGTACTCTTCTAGTACCGTAGGAAAATTCTGATAATGTAGGCTGATACCCAATGTCCTTTTAAGGTACCTCATGACTCACTTAATAGCTTGTCAGGGCTTGTTACTCGGTCTACTCATAAACCTGCACAACAATCCTACGACATATGCAATGTCGCGTATAGTATAATCAGTAGCATACCTAAAACTTCTAATGATGCTCGTGTATTCTATTTGTCTAACATTTTCACCAATGTTCTTAAACAATTTCACACTTGGATCATATGGTGTGCACGCAGGTTTACATTCAAAGTATTTATATTTCTTTAAGATCTTCTCCATATAGTGTGATTGATCCAAAGAAATTCTTTGTTTGGATCTCGTGACCTTGATACCAAGGATAATACTTGCCTCTCCGAGGTCTTTCATATCAAAGTTGTTGCACAACAATGATTTGACATCATTAATGGTCTGAATGTTTGATCCAAATATGAGTAAATTGTCTACATAAAAACATATGATATTGCAGATGTGATTCTCAAATTTGTAATAAACGCGTTTGTCACTTTCATTCACTTTGTACCCATTTGATATCATTAAGTTATCAAACTTTTCATGTCATTTCTTAGGAGCTTATTTTAGTCCATACAGATACTTGTCTAACTTACAGACCGTGTTTTCTTGTACATCGATCATGAACTCATTCGGTTGTTCCATATAGATTTCTTCTTCTAAGTCACCATTTGAAAAAGTTATTTTAACATCCATTTGGTGCATTATTAAGTTATAAATAACAGCTATTGAAATAAGTACCCTAATGGATATAATTCTAGTGACTGGAAAAAAGGTGTCGAAGAAATCAATATTTTCTCTTTGTCTAAAACTCTTGGCTACAATGTGAGCCTAGTATTTATCAATAGTTCCATCAGGTTTTAGTTTCTTTTTCAAAACCCATTTACAACCAATTGGTTTGCAACCAGGAGGCAAGTCTACTAAGTGCCAAGTCTTATTAGATTCTAGAGATTTTATCTCATCATTAATAGCTTCTTGTCATAAGTCTGCATCCAAAGATGACTAGGTTTCTTGAAGATTTATGTGATCTTCTTATACATTATAATATGCATAATCGGACCCATATTCTTTAGCAACTCTTGCTCTTTTACTTCTTCCAATTTCTATTTCTACATTGTCATTGCTTTTTGTGCTTCCTATCACAGGAATGTGACTCAATTGAGTGCCCCCGCTTTTTCTCGATTTCAAAGGAAATTTGTCTTCATAGAATTCAACATTATTTGATTTTATGATCACTTTTTGTATTTAGGTCATAAAACCTATATACCTTACTATTTGTTGCATACCTAATGAACACACATTTATAGGCTCTACTAGCGAGTTTAACTCGTTCCGGATCCAAAATTCTGACATAAACCAGACAGTCCCAAGCTATCAAATAAGACAAGTTTGGTTGTCTTTTCTTTAATATCTCATAAGGAGAGATCTTACTTTTTGACTTGGGAACATTATTCAGGACATAGCAAATAATTAATAAAGACCCCCCCCCCCCCCCCCCCCACACACACACACACACTAGTGAGGAGCAACACTAAAATTCGACATAATTGCAACAAATTTAGTAAGAGTTCTTATCTTTCTTTCTGCTTTACCATTCATTCCAGGAGAATATGGCGCAGTCATTCCATATACAATTCCACGTTCTCAATAAAATTCATTAAATAAACTAGAATCATATTAAGTTCCCCTTCACTACGAAACCTTTTGATTTTCTTACTAAATTAATTTTCAATTTCATTCACGTAATTGTGTAAATCTGCCTCAATAGACTGACGAAACCCAATTTTTTTCAGAAGAAACTCAAAAACAAGATTCTTTATAATCTCTGATATCCTTCAAGATTAAAGTATTTTTTGAGGTGTAATTTGGCTCCACTTCTCCAATATCAACAATATTAGTGGTGTGAGCAACTCCCAATAACACTTTGTTATTCGAGTATGTTTTGAACATTGCAATATCATAATAGACATGACGAGAAGAGTCAATGTCTATCCACTAA